GGGGGGGGGGGGGGAGCGGGAGGCGAGGATACTTGACAAAGCCTGGCCTGGGTAAAAGGGGTGCCAGTGAGGGTTTAGAACCCTAATTCCCATTAAGGAAAAAGAAAAGTGTATTTATTTCAAAGGTTGGCACCATGAATTAAAGTGTTGCTTGGAATGCAACACAGTCAAGTTTTGTATTCAGGTGGCTTTCCCTTTTATTCGCTAAATTTATTTAATTGCATGAATAAAGCTGACAAAAGTGTGCGGCATCCAGTACCATAAGTAATGAGGCAGGGAGAGATTTTCCCTTGTAAATGTGCTGCTTGTGAAAATTCTCTAACTTGTAGTCACTAGTATCATTGAGCTGTATCTGTAACTATACCACTGAAACAAAGCACTTGCATGGGAATACCCATCAGTTACACAGGCCAGTAATTTGAGGGTCCAAGTCTTCAATAGCTTGCAGTGTCTAGGGGGAGATCTAGGGAGAGAGTGCAGGGGGTGCACAACAACCCCCCTGAAATGGCATGCCGCTTTCTAATATAACTGGCATTCTACAAAGAAAAAAAAAAAAAACTACGTGGTTTATTAGTATTGAAGTAAAATAGTGGTGCACCCCCTTCTAAGAAAAATCCTGGATCTGCCCCTGAGTGTCTGTAGGTCAAACTAAATGCAAAAGAAGTCTAAAGGAATTTGAAGACAAGCGACGGCAAGGTTTAAATAATTTTACATATACTGATTCTTTTGATACCTATTGTAGTTGGAGTATGTTCTCGTATTTGACTTTGATTTCCTGATTCAACTTTCAACACAGATTATGACTCTGAAACTGATGACGATAATGAAGAGTTGGAGAACTCTCCTCCAGCCAAGCGACAGAAGCTAGATGTTAGAGAAGAGTCGAGTGGGTCATCTGCATCATCATCCTCCAAAAACACCAATAACAAGGAAGAAGGTTGTTTGCCGTTTTTGTTGACCAGAGTGCGTGGAATTCCTTCAGAATTCAATGCCAGAAATTTAGCTATTGGCATTAAAGGTACATGTGCATGTAAATGTAATTTGAGAGTGTATAAATTTTTGAGTTGTGATGAGCAATTAAGATATTGCGTCTGACCTTATGGACCAAAGAGAATTTTAAAAGAAAGAAATGTTATTATTAATAGTTATTCAAGAGGACACAGATAATTATATTGTGTTACGGGACTGTATACAATGTAGTTACTGTATTGCTATATGGGGGTTTCTTTAAGGGCTGGGCGCTGGCACATTAATGGACTGGCTGTGAGGATTTTTTTGCCCATCTGGTTTGACAATCTAGAGGGAAGTTTTTCCTCTAAAGAAGTTTAGTTCAAATAGTTTTGCCCACCTGTGAAAACCAGTTGTCCTCCTGCTGAAGATGTTAATTAATGAAACCCCTGACTACTTCTTAGTGTACTACACTTGCTGCTCACCTTGTTAACGCACCAGTCAATTCCAGCTGTGCCCATCCCCTGAAAAATAGCTAAGCACTTACTCACATCTTAATCCTAGGGGTGGGAGGTATTTGAAATTTTAATACTGCCTGTGGAGTGAGGATTTACCAACCCCTGGAACAACCCCAGAGCATTTGGCACCCTTTTGGTTTTGGTTTTATGATTTACGTGACTGTAAATTTAGTACAACTTTTGTTAGGATGTTCACATTTTTTTACATTTCATATTTACATGTACAAAACGTATTTTGCCAGACACCCATAATTCCGTGGCAAATAACCTCATGATGTCTCTGTCTCTGTAGATATTCTTTCAAATGACATGGGTGACTTGAAAGCATCAGCGCAGGTATGCATATATGTCTGTAATGTCCATTCTTATAAAAATCATTCAATGAGCAAACAAATTATCATGATTTTCTTTTATTAAGATTTTTCTACACACTACAAAATGTACATTTAATGTTTCTTTTGTATTTTGTCATTGCAAATTAAGTTTTCCTTGAAAATTTCCTTGTTTTATTTAGAAGAAAAAAGCAATGTGTAATATCAAACAGAAGGCTAGGTCTGCATTTTGTCAGACTTCAAAAAGAAAGACAAGAGGTTTGAATTGCCATATAGTGTTAAGTAGTATTTTTTGACAAAATTTGTGTTGCCTGAAAGTGTGATGGATGACTCACAGTTTCCAATGTTTGATCTTTTTTTCGAAATTGAAACTGGAACTAATGAAGAAAGTGAGAAATAATAGAATATTGAACTCTATTATGGTAAATAAAATCGCATTTTCATACTACCTGCACAAGTAAGATTTCATTTCTCTTTATTTGATAAGTTTCTTGATGAGTTTAAGAAGCATATATCTCCCACCCTTTCTAGACATTAGGGAGTTTAAGAAAACCACAGTGGCAACGGCAATGGGAACGTCGCTAAACAAAAGGTTTAATGAGCAGAACAATGGCTGTGCATGTGCGTTATAATTCTTGGTGCATTTCTTTGCCGTCCTCTGCAAAACAACAACATGAAATGACCAAATTCTGCATTGTCTGGAGAAGGTGAATGACAACAGCTAATTTTTTAAATTTATATTCTGAATTTAACACTGTGTTCCATATTCAGTTTCGAGGTAATTTTGACAGTGAGAAACAAACTAAATGACTTTAGGGTATCGCGAGATTCATAGGTAAAATATAGGTTCATTTTTTAACAGATGTTGTCCTCGGCGTTACCATTGTGGTTTCATCCCTATTGTGTCAGCACAAAATTTGAAAATATAAATCGTCTCTGTTCTTGATATTCCAGTTTAACTACATGTTTGATATCTCTTGGTTGACTGAGCAGTATCCTGAAGATAAAAGGTAACCAAACTGTACTTATTTATCATCTTATTTTTTTCCCTTTCTTTTAATTGGTTACAAAACCAAATACATTTCCTGGATTATATAAAGAGTAACTGTCTATTAATAACCAACATGTGAATCTAGAAACAAAACAAAAGCACACTCAGTGCTTAGTATAGTCTGTCAGTCCTTACAGAGGCAGCTGATGTTGCAAATCTTGTTTGTGTATTGAAGGTCCAAACCTTTGCTTATTGTTCATGGAAATCAGAGGGAAGCAAAAGCTGAACTTCAAAGAGAGGCTGAGCCATATCCAAATGTCCAACTGTTTGCCGTAAGTGACAATGTACAAACAAACGGTTAAAATTATAGCCAGGTGTATAAGCTCTATAAAGCCCTCCTCTCAACAGTAGTTGCTCTCCCCCCTGTCGTATTTGCAAATCCACAGGATTATCCATCTCACAAAAGGTCATTGAAAAATTCTGAGGGAGGTGGTGGTGGGGGGAACTGGAATTTCCAGAGGGGTGGGTGGAAGGGGGGGTCAAACTAAAAAGCTTTCCATGGGAGGGTTATGGATATTTTCTGGATCAACACTNTCTGAGGGCTGGGGACTCAAACCATAAAGCGTTCTGTGGGGAGTGTACATGGATATTTTCTGGATCAACACAATCATCTGTCATTATTTTTACTCTGTGAGGAAGGGGCATAGGGCTTTTTTTATTTGTTAATAGCAATCTGCAGTGTACATTTACTGTTATGTTATGCCAAACAATTATCTGAGCGATTTTGCAAAAACATGCCCGCTAGGTTTTCGCCTGGATTCGGGCGTAGCCCAAATCCAGGCTGAGCCAGTGACTTTAAACCCAGGGGGGATCTGTCAAGGCCTGGCCTAGGCACTGGCCCGCCTGCTGGTGGTTTGCTAGTGGCCAGCTGTCAAAAGCAGGGGGGAGGGGAGGGTGTCTTGTACTGACACCTCCACTTAGCTAGTTAGCCTTTGAGTTTTCAGTGCCAAATAACCTTGATATTGACTGTGTTGCTGGGTATTTTGCTCAGTTGTTGAACCTTGTTTGAGGGTTCTGTGTTGACATGGCACCCTGCTGGAGAGGTCCATGCCATGTGCGTTCATGACGGGCCAATCTACTAGCCAGGGGGGTTGGTCAGATCACTTCTGGCTGCTGGGACTGTCTTTGAGTCAACTGTGGGCATGTTTTTGCGAATATGGTCAGATATACATTCATTGCATTTTTGCAGGCCAGGTTGGAAGCTTTTGGAACACATCATAGGTTAGTCATGGTATTGATATTTTTTGGTCTAATTAATTATTATATACATTTCAGAATGGAATCTATAAATTATAGAATCATTTCATTTTGGTGATTCTTTTCCAGTATTCACCTAATCTATTCCCCACTTTTGTGAGAAAAGTTTCATATCAAGAGCTAGGCAGTAGAGCATGCCCTTGGCCACTTAAAAACAAGGACCTTAGTTAACCCTTTCATTTAGGGCCTTGAGGGCCTTCATGCATGAACGGGTAGCTTTATCATGTATGCAAGGCCCTGGAAAGGATAAAATAGATCTGCTAACATTTGTCCAGTGCTGTTCTTAGTAGACACAAAACTTGATTCCAGGGAGAACTGTTGCATAGTTCTCTTATCTCCTTTTGGTGATATAGTGTAACTTGTGGCCAAGACATTTACAGTAGATGAAGTACATGTAAAACCACCCATGATTAAATCTATAGTTATTTTTATTTTTGTTGACTTTTACTACAACTACACTGTACTTTTAGAGGTTCCACTATTTTGAAAAGGTAGATGCAGTGAACTAATATGAAGGTGCAATGATTGTGACCACTTCTTGAAATGTGTGGTCATGTGGCTACATTCTTGATCGTGTAGTGTGGGTTCAAGCCCTGGCTGAGGCCACTGTTTTGCATTTTTGAGTGAGACACCTCATTCCAACAGTACCTCCTATCCACCTAGGTTTAAGATATCAACGGAAATTGTGCCTATAATCGGAGTCTCCACCCAGGTGTATAAACTGTGCCTGTACTGTCAGGTTGATTTTTAGATGAAACCTCACAGTACTTCTAGTCAGCCTGATGTTATGCAGACTTGAAAATGGACCTGGGGTCCATTTCTCGAAAGCCCCGGAAACTTTTCAGGCTCGTAAAGCCATAGCAAAATCTCGAACCTTACGATTACAGAGCTGTTTTATTTACGTATTCTTAATATAGGGAGAATTTCCCTTCATACAAGAAGTTTGAGGTGTATACACTTCTCTGTTTTAGATACAGATGGACTAAAAATAGCTTTACGGGCCCAAAAAGTTTCTGGGGTTTTCGAGAAACGGACCCCTGAACCTTTTTAACTGAAACGTTCTTGTTTTTACTTTCAGCAAAATGATGCTATTGTTGTATAAAGAGGGTATTAAAGTGGTCATCACAACAGCTAATCTGATTGCCATGGACTGGGACCAAAAAACACAAGGGTACAGATGATAAGAATCATTTTTCAAACAAATAACTACAGTGATATATGCATTATTCTAGATTGTCATAACTTAGTTTAACTCTTGAATTATTTTCTTCTGCACGCATTAGCCCCTTAGCCCTAAGAAAAGAACTTGGGGAACCACACAAGGCAAAAAAGACTCGAAAATATTACCCTTCTTTGCCTCATGTGGTCCTCCATCTCACTTCTTAGAGCCANCTTTCACCTGTTTTAAACACTACCTTCATGTCATTTCTTGAAGTTTTAATACTTCACCTTTAGTATTCCAGAACTTACATTAACCTTTCCTTCGTTTGTTATATTATTGGGTTTTCATTCTGGAAATCATTTTCCCCTTCAGCTTTTTCCCACAGTGGATAATGTTCGGCAGAGTTTGGAAGGCTATCCAGGTACTTAGCATTAGTTAACAGCCATTTTTCTCACAAAGGACCAACAGTTAATTATGTTGGAAACAATTTCACACACCCCGAAAAGCATGTCTTGGTGTAAACCTACAACAAAAACAACAACAATAGTTTATTTGTACCTCATCAAAATGAAATAGAGTTTTTATATATATTATAATTTGACGAAAGAAAAGGTAACAGGGCACCTAGAATAACTATAAGAAGCTAAACTGATTAGGTGCCCATTAAATAATACATGTAAGAGACTAGCGAGTCCAATATGCCTGCCTTAAAGATGTAATGTGACAATTAATTCTGCCCCTCAGTAACAAATATGCTCCATATAGATGCGGGTTTTTATTAAAGTGCCAATGATCCAGTTCCACAAAAAAACGCTGTCAACTGATGTTGTTTAAACTACAGTTTATTCTTGAGACGTTTTTCAGTCGAACTCTCAATCTTGTTCTGTTCTCTAAGCTGGTGGTTCGTTGCCGTACAGCTCTAAAACAGCAGTGAAACAACCTTACCTCACAAGTTTGTTTTGGTAAGTAAGGTGTTGATTGGCCTTCTCGTTAATATTGTAATTTGGTTATTGTCTTGTACATGACTGACTGAGAGACTGACAGACTGACTAAGTGAATTACTGACTTACTGACACCTCTGTAAAATTAAATTATTTTCTGACACCTCTGTAAAATGTTTGTGANTCGTTTGTTATATTATTGGGTTTTCATTCTGGAAATCATTTTCCCCTTCAGCTTTTTCCCACAGTGGATAATGTTCGGCAGAGTTTGGAAGGCTATCCAGGTACTTAGTATTAGTTAACAACCATTTTTCTCACAAAGGACCAATAGTTAATTGTGTTGGAAGTAATTTCACACACCCCGAAAAGCATGTCTTGGTGTAAACCTACAACAACAACAACATTAGTTTATTATATATATATATATATATATATATATATATATTATAATTTGACGAAAGAAAAGGTAACAGGGCACCTAGAATAACTATAAGAAGCTAAACTGATTAAGTGCCCATTAAATTATACATGTAAGATACTAGCGAGTCCACCGAAACCATATGCCTGCCTTAAAGATGTAATGTGACAATTAATTCTGTCCCCCAGTAACAAATATAGTGCATATAGATGCGGCTTTTTATTAATGTGTGAATGATCCAGCTCCACAAAAAACGGTGTCAACTGATGTTGTTTTAAACTATAGTTTATTGCTGAGACGTTTTTCAGTCAACTCTCAATCTTGTTGTGTTCTCTAAGCTGGTGGTTCGTTGCCGTACAGCTCTAAAACAGCAGTGAAACAGCCTTACCTCACAAGTTTCTTTTGGTAAGTAAGATGTTGATTGGCCTTCTCGTTAATATTGTAATTTGGTTATTGTCTTGTGCATGACTGACTGAGAGACTGACGGACTGACTAACTGAATTACTGACTTACTGACACCTCTGTAAAATTAAATTATTTTCTGACACCTCTGTAAAATGTTTGTGAGAGTTTAAATTAAAATTGAATTGAATTGAATGACTGACTGCGTGCCTGGGTAACTGACTGACTGACTGACTGACTGACTGACTGACTGACTGACTGACTGACTGACTGACTGACTGACGCACTGACTCACTGACTCACTGGTGCACTGACTGACTGACTGACTGACTGAACACTGACTCACTGACCGACTGACTGACTCACTGACTGACTCACTGACTGACTCACTAACTGAGACATTGACTGAGTGGCTAATTGACTTTTGACTGACGGACCGGAACGGACTGATTGACGAACTGATTGACTGAATGGCGTTCTATCAATGATAGATCCCAATTTCGTTTCTCCAAATTTCTTTAATTTCACATGCGTTTATTTTATTAGCTCATGGAAATCCCGCAGCTGTGGTAGAAGTCGCGCCTCTCCCCACATTAAGACTTACACCAGGATATCCCCTGACTGGAGCCATGTGGCTTGGTTTCTTATGACAAGGTGATTATAACTGACTAATTTGGATAATTCAGTCGGGGTCATGTATAAGTTAATACCGACATCGCGGCTGTCTCAAAGAATAGTCCGTTTCCAAGTTGCCTTTTGCCTCTGTGTCAAAGCGAGCCTTTCAATGTGCGTCAGAGACCGTTGATTTGCAAATGCGTTTCACATGGAACGTCCATCTTTTCAGTGTGAATCAAATTCATTTTCATTTGGAATTTTTTGCACCCAGGCTCGCTTTGAAACAGAGGCAAAAGACTTCTTGGAAATACAGTGAAACCTGTATTAANTACGTGGCTCAATTAAGGTGGAATACCACTCTGTTTCTAAGGAAGTCTTCTATATAACTTTGGAACCCCGGCAACGTCTTAATACAAGCTGTTTTGCTGCGTCGGGTGCATCGAACTTCCCTTCCACAATTTGAGTTACAACTGGTCACAACAGCACCTCAGAAAGTAGTTCTGTGAAGAACAGCAAGATGCTTGTAATGATTATTTGCGACACCTTATGAAAACACAAGAGGCGGATTTCTTGTCATGTGACAGTATTTTTACCATGTTTGTTTGTGTTCTCAATAGAAAACCCATGGATGTGGGACGTCAGGTATAGCACACCGGATTGTCACGGGAGAATATGGTCACCGTCTTAACGGCTCGAGTAATTGTAACACAAGAGATGAAATTCTGGGCTCAAGTTGAGAGGACAAGGGGGGGCCAATACAATATGGGGGACATTAGGCGTGTTCTAAATTGTGAAACGTCTTTTGTTTGGACGAAAGTTGAAGACTGCCAGTAACTGTGAAAACTCCATAAAGAGTTTACTCGACAGAACATTTTGTATTTTGCGAGCGTTTTTCCC